CAGCTGGCCGACATTATTCTGTGTTTGGCCTTAGCAAGTCGAAGCCATTAGCTTATTGATCAAAGCAATCCGCGCTGCGCGCGTCCAGCAAAGTTAGCACAAGCCTTCTGATCGAAATGGCATCAAAGCGCCGCGGACCAGCTCCCAGAACCAAGACCGGGATAACAACTTGGTTTCGATGCAATCAGGCGGGCGGCCTGGGCTGGCCGCAGCAGATAACAAAGCTGACAATCCTGCAGACCTCCGCGGGCCGGGAACCGAGTCGGCAAACTCGGCACCGAGCGCAATCGTCTCCAGACGCAATTAGAACTTCCTGTCACTGTGCCGTCCCGGCTGCACCTCCGGTCAACCCGCAAGCATACCGGATCGCTTATTTCGGACCACACCGGCCCAGAAATAGCACACCTGTAAGGCAGGCAGAGCGAGTCATGATGAGTACAGCATTGGATCCTTCCTGGGAAACACGTGCGGATAATGGCCCAGACCGGACCAAACCAGACCGCATGCGGGCCCGGTTGGCCGTGTTTGTTGGGTCATCAGGCCCCGTTCGGCGGACAGGGCGTGTTGTGCCCGACAGATGTGGGCGGTGTGGGCTAGCAGTCTTATTTTAACAGTCAACGACAGCCATCTGAGAGGAGCCACTGCTACAGCAAAAGGAGCAAAAAACGTTCCACTCTCAACAGCTTATGAGCCTGAGCTATCCATTCATTAATAAAGAAAATCACCAAAGCACTTCTACAGACTTGAAACGGCTTTACAGCGTAATTTCTCTTTGGCGACCTTTCCCCTTACCTGGCGTCAGACCACCTCATTGCATTGCCTCAAAGTACCCTTGCCGCGACTCACACTCAGGCGACAACGAGCGGCTCGGCCATCGCCGTGCCCCGGCACCAAGCCTGCTGCCGGGGTCACGTCCCCGACCCCGGCGGCGGTATGGCCCCAGCGTTCGCCGGTGTGCCCCCAGTCGCGCCGATCGAGCGGTGTCGGGCCATGCATTATGAAGTGGACTGCACAGTCGGCGTCGTTACGACGCCACCGTTCGGGCCGCGGCGGCCCGCGGCCTCCCGGGCTAAACGCTCCCGCCGGGCCGCCGGCAGGCCCGCGCTCAGCGCCCTTGGGAGGGGAGGCGCGCCGGCCCCGGGAGCGGCCACGGCGCGCGGACGGCAGAAGACGGTGGGTGGAGTCGGGCTCCATGTGAGCACCCCCCCCCCCCCCCTCCGACTCCCCGGAAAGTTGAGTTGGTCGGCAGTGCTGCCTCCACGCCTCCCCCGGGAGTCCGCCAACCGTGCCGGTCGCCGGCAGGCGTATTTGCCTGGCGAGGCGGGGGGGGGGGGGGGGGGGGGCAGAGATCCTCGACCCTTTCATCCGCGCACTGGACCGCACATTCCGGCAGTAGCGATGTTTGCAGGAGCGTGCCGCGCTCAAGAGCGCAATAATGAGGCCTCCGGATTTCAAAGTGCTCGTAAGCAGGCCAAATGAGGAGCGCGGGCAACGCTGTATCCCATTCCATCGCAAGCAAGGCCTCTCTCTCTCTCTCTCTCTCTCTCTCTCTCTCTCTCTCTCTCTCTCTCTCTCTCTCTCTCTCTCTCTCGCAGCATGTTTCCTGCGAACTGTTTATCAGCGAACATAGGCCCGTAAACGGGTAAACAGCCCGAAGCCGTAGGGCGTGCTTGGCACGTCCACAAGTGCTGTGCCTACGTGAAGGTCACAAGTTCAAGGTCCGGATCGACCCCCGATGGAAATATGCCGCCGTTGCCAGCCCATGACCGGCTCAGCCTTCGGCACAGGCGGCCGTGGGATGCATCGACTTCTCCCAGGACTGTGTGTTTATGTCGATACGTATACATCGACCGCGTGTATACGCATCGGCGCATATATGCCGTTGATGCGTGATCTTCCACATATTGACGGATGTCTGCAGGGGGCGGGGATAAGCAGAAATTGGCAACCCGAATGTCAAAAATGGAGCTGTGCAACTGCCTGAAGATGTGGCGAAATTATTGCACCATATGTTAAAATGAGCTGAATGAAAAAACTGCTGCCTTAACAAGAGCCTTCCTCTCGTGTCCGTGCTACCATGGAACACCTCATTGTATGTGAATTGCGCCCAGAATGCAAGCATGAGATCTGACCAATGATAATGACACGGCCTCTACACCGGTGCATCACATGCTTGCAGGGTAACCCGCTTTACATTACATGTTTTGCCCTTAGATGAAAGGCAAGTGTTCAGCTGAACGCTGTGGCACTCAGGCTGCTAAGAGATCGAACCGATACTTCATACGAATCTTTATGGTCAAAAATTTCGCAGGCATGCCAGTCTTTGGCTGTTTCTGTCATGCCATCAATCTTAAGAATCTTGGCGACTTGCCAGCACGCGGCTGCCATCCTGCGCCCGGGCACATCAGCGTCATCTTGGTACGAATGCGGGTGCCGGCCTCGGGCTGCGGTGACGGCAGCGGTTGCCCCTCCTCTACCGCCAGGCCAAGGGCCTGCTGGAGCGGCGGTGCTCCAGCTCGTCGCTGACGATCCAGCTGCAGCAGGCGGAGGAGGACGGCGAACCCATCGTCATCGGATCCCCGGCCCGACAATGGTGAGACGGGCGGCGCCAGGCCGCTGGCTCCAGCCCCGCCGAACGGGAGCGTGCCCGCTCGGTACAGAGTCACAGGTGGTGCTGCCATGAAGTTACCCGAACAGCATACGGTAACGTTTGCTCCCACCTGTTCTCTGATGTTGGCTCAAATATATTGTCAGATCACACCAGCCGTCGTAAATTGGATGCTGCCCGCCTAAGTGTTATGACGCCAACCTGATTTGGAAGGAAACACGCTCCGACATGTCCGTGTAGAGTTTTGGTCACAGCGCCCCCTGTACAGCCATGGGCCTAATGCCTACACATTGTAATGGTTTGACGAAGGACTGGGGCGCCATCCAGTGGCGCCATCTGGTGACAATTTCGTAAGGTTCAGCTAGCTCGAATCGACTCCGCCAATTTAAATCATTTTCGGAAATAGTTGCTGATAAATGGCGCCTGAGTTCAAGGCTAACAATCACATAAGGCTGCATTCCAATATAGATCAATCTATTTCGATCATTTGCATAAATGCGAAATGCTTTCCGACCTATGGTTAGAAATTGATTTCAACACAATAGGCACAGCCATTCCAGTCGTAATAAATGCTTTTGGGGTGCACTGAGAATGGCCACTGACATTTTGTGAGAGCCCGATGAGCTTTAAGACTCTCTACCGTTTTTTTCAATTTATTGCTAGACAAGCTTTATCTAAACACGAATTTCAGCTTGGATGTGTCGTGATGCGGTTTCTAAACCAATGTCAAACATTCGAAATGCCTCGATGCATTTCCACCACCAGAACGACGAGCATAAATCTCACACATCTGACCAAGTCCTGACTGGTGCCTTATTGTTCGTCTGACCAGAACAAATAACATCCCAACACTCCATCCGTCCCACTCCATCCGGACGCGCTCGGGCGCGGCCGGCCCGAGCGCGTCCGCCGGTGTCCAGACATAATGCAGTCATCAGTCTGATCCCTGGCGGGCGGCCCTCCAGTCCCCATACCGCGGGTGCTCCCGGTGTAAGATACGGTCAAACCCGACATCATGCGTCGGCGCCGTGCCTCTGGCCCGGGCCGGCAGCCCACACCGTACGGGGCCGTTCACTGCTGACCGCTGCGCGAGGCCGTTCACCCGCTGACCGCTGCGCAAGGTCGTTCACTGCTGACCGCTGCGCGAGACCGTTCACCGCTGACCGCTGCACGAGACCGTTCACTGCTGACCGCTGCGCGAGGGCCGTTCACCCGCTGACCGTTGCGCAAGGTCGCTCACTGCTGACCGCTGCGCGAGACCGTTCACTGCTGACCGCTGTACGATTGAACCGAATGATGAAAGCTAAAGCTGTTGCATGATTTCACACTGCACTTATTGGATGAATGAATAATGAATGGTTTTAACGTAATGATTTGGTTTTAATTGTTTTCTTGTAATCGCTCATTGCTACAATATGGGCACGTATTCGGTGACAAAAGACCGCTAGCGACTCCTTGCGGTTGTGTTCATTGCGCTAGACAAGTCACCTTTTGGCACAGAATTCTCCCCAGGCCTTGGTAGACCTAAACCAATATATCATGTTTTATTGTTATAAATTTCTTCCTCAATATGCCTCTAACTACCTTACCATAGCTACCTTCCTATGGTGTGTCACGAGAAACTTTTTCAGACGTTTTCGCTGTAACAAGAAGACATTGGAAGGCAACAGAAACTTTTAAACTTGGTAGCATTGTCGACCGTAGTCATTCGACAAGGTCATCTGAGCAAATATTGAAAAAGTAGTAATATTTCAACCGTTCAGCGCCTATGATACCTTAATGGTAGCTCTATGGAGTCAACATTTTTTGCTAGTGCAGGCACAACTGAATTTGCGAAAACATTTTCGTAGACCTAACCACTTGGACCCTCCAGGTCGGTCTACTTGCTCGTCACCAGTACAGCGTGGCTGAGTGTGGGGTGAGCAAGAGCGAGGACTTGCTTTTAATTGAGGGAAAAGCAGATGATCTGCCGCGTGCCATTGGTCGACGTAGCCAAATTTAGCCGATACATGTTCAAATGATACACCCAGCCCTTTATTGACTAGGAGGAAACTTAATGTCTCGGCCGGCAGCGCCTTCCTCGCAGCACAGTGGCTACATGCATCACAATATAACCTCTGCACAAACCTTCCCCGCCGGGCCAAACCCGCAGTTGCCAAACAGCCAGAGCCAATACAACTGCTTTGGCAGCATTCATCCATCGTTCGTCCAGAGCAAATGGCTCTTATTTTGCAGAGCCGCTTTAAACAGTGTGCGAGACAGTGCTGCGTCAGGAGACCCCGGGAATGCTTGTAACGCAGCACTGCCCCAGGAGAGCCCGGCCAGGACTGTATGGTACCGCTGTCTCAGGAAAGCCAGGGTTGGCCGCGCAACGACCGCGCCAGCATCGCCCGGCTGTCCTCGTATGCAGCTGAGGGCAACGTCGGAAGCCCATGATTGGCCCATCTCTCAGCCGGCCTATTTCAGGAGCCGGCCTCGATCAGCACACACTGATTGGCGGCGGAAGTGGCGCACTCTGCGGCGCGGCGGCTCTGATGGGGACGCTGACGGTGGTGGGTGGTGGTGGCTGACGGCGACAACTGAAATGGACGCTTGAGCCCAGGAGGCTATGCGCCCTAATCCAGGACAAGACAAGACGGTGGTGGGAACGGATCCGCTGGCAGAGGAAAATAAGGCGCGCCGGAGATCAGCCAGCACGCTGGCCAGCATGATTTCTCTTTCGTTTATCCGTGACAGTTTTAATTATCACGATATCCTCAGTTGCTGTAACTTCAATGACAGCTTTCGGTATCACAGCAGCTTGCGTGAAACGCGTTCTTAGTTGTCCTCAATGTCTTCCGTTTGGGCAAGCTCGCCCCCTGGTTAGCCAACTCTGTCCGCCGTCTGTACGATCGAGCCTTGCGGGCCCACCAACGCAACAACGCAACGCAGCTCAGGAGTGGTGATTGTATGGCTGTAAGGCGATCGTTTGCGTTCATAGCAAATCCAGCTATGATTCACAACCCAATGTCTTAATGCGGTCGCAAGAAGCTGGCGAGCAACTCACTACGAATTAATCGCTGCGTGTTCCATCCCATGCGGAAGGTTTCGTTTGAGAAATGTCATTACCCATCTAAAAAAATCCTAGCACATGTTACACCATATTTAAATGAGACCTATACCTACGAGGCATGATAGTCATTGATAACATACTATAACCAAAATACATGAGAAATAGTCTAGAGTACATAGAATCACGTGCTAAGCATGCACAAGATAATGACGGTGCGGGCTAAGAAAAGGCAGCGGTACCAGAGATTGCCGTCTTTTTACTTCTTGAACTGCGCTGAAGTGCTTACGCTAAATACCTCTCCACAATGTCTGCTGCTAAATGGTGGAATCTGCACCCTGGATCAGCGCCATAGACGTTTGTTAACAAGACGTGCACGACGTGCACGAAAGGGCCAGACGTGCCTATTCTCAGTAAGTGGGTGCGCATTCGTCATAACAGCCGCCTATGCCTTTCATTGTGCACGCTACGGAAGACCACCTGTCAGGGCAGAGCCCCGTTCCGCTCGGTTAGAGCGGTCACCTCTCTCACCGTGGCCTTCTCTTGAATGGCCCTGGCCGCCACTCGCTAGATCAGGCTTGCCTCCTCTGGAGATGAAGGTACCGGCCGTGGATACATGCTCCTCCTCGGGACAGGTCAAGTCTTTCTCCACAAAAGTGCGATGCCGCTCGGCGAAAGGCGGAGAGGAGAGGGAAAGGGGAGAGGGAGAGGGAGAGGGAGAGGTAGGGAAGGGAGGAAGAGGGAGGGGAGAGGGAGAGGGAGGGGAGAGGGAGGGGGGATGGGAGGGGGAGGGAGAGGTAGGGAAGTGAAGGGAGAGGGGGGAGAGGAAGAGAGAGGAAGGGGTTGGGGAGGAAGAGGGAGGGGGAGGGGAGGGGAGGGTTGGTGCCGTCTACAGTGGCGTCATCTTGTCCCGGTACGCTCGGTCACGTTCGCCATCAGCCCGCCGTCGCCCAGCCGGCACACTGGACGACGTCCGCCGCACATGGGACCCTGGGACCCTGCTCCCGTGTCAGCGCCGCTGATGTATCGCCGGATCAGCCAGCCGGCGGAGATTGCAGATGTAACAAAGGCCGGGCAGGATACGGACCGGTTTTTTTTCGCACGGAATTGTTTGCGTTGAGCAGTTTCTGGGATCTGTCTTCACCACATGCGTATGCAAAAGTCCACCTCCGTCGTCGGCCGTCCGTTATTGCCTTTGAATGGCTAAAAGCATCCCAAGCTGCAGCAATAGCCGCCGACTACCGCCATATCAACGCTCTGTATTCTGTGTAGTGGGGCTGCCAAAGAAGTCACCCTATGCGCCATGAGCTGCATCTCAGCGTACCCAGCGTATCCATGGACGGAACCAGCGCTATGGTCGGTGGGTCCCTGATGAACCAGCGCTAAGGTCGGTGGGTCCCTCATGAACCGGGGCTTAAGTCGGTAGGACCCCCTGAATCAGCACTGACGTCGGTGGGTCCCTCCTGAACGCAGATATTTTCGAGAAGCGATCCTGGAAGTAATAAAACAGTTTTCGACCCGGAATAATAAAAAGGGTCCAGTCATCAAAGCAGACAAACACTGCAGACAAGCAGACTGGAGTCGACAAACACTGCAAGCTTGGCCACACCCTTCCTCGCACCTCACAGCCAGCCAGGTCTCCACGTTGGGCTGCTCCTCTGTTGCAGCGAGGCGGCCGAGTACTTGGCGTCAGCCGGCAACCGCCTGTCTCGCCGCGAACTCCGGCTGACCGAGGAGAACGTGGCTGCCCTGCAGGCCGAGTTCTGGGACATTCCCCTCAACTTCCCCGACAAGTGCGACATCGTCGGCGCATCCACCAAAAACCGATACAAGTGAGCGCCGC